TATATATATATATATATATATTGAAAAGTATGATCTCATTAAAGATAGTCAACCATTTAAGTTACAAATTAGTCATTAATAAAGTTAATAATTATTTTGCACTAATCACAATTATTTAGAAAAAAAAAATTAAACATATTAATATTGAATTTGGTTATGGATATATAAAAATTAGACGGTTGTTTCCATTTCTGTAAGCCATGATGTTTCTTGTTTGAAAGAACAATGACAACTACGTACAAGCACCTGCTAATTAACATGAATGAATGAATACTCCTAAAAAGAGCATATCCTATGAAGCTGTTTAACTAAATGTTTATGAGTTTTTATGCATTGAAGCAAATAAAGTTGAGTTCTTATAATTGAAAGAATAAATAATCTTTTAAAACCTCTTTTAAGAACTTTAGTATTGAAATAAAATTTTGTTGGTGTTCTTAAATTTGAGGTGGCATTATTGTAAAGTCTACAAAAATAAGTTAAGAACCCAATTAACAAGAACCTCAGTATAGGAGATATATGCTCTAAGTGTAGAGAACAATATGCATGAAGGAATGTGATAGCATATATCATGAATTTAAACTATTTTTTTTTTTTTTACAAATGAAAGTTTAGATTAGGACAATACACAATTCATATAAATTGTATATCTCATTATTAGCACAAGTCTGCATGAAAGAATATAAAGTATAAAGAAAACTATATTTAAATTCATGTCTTAACTAATAAGAACATAGAAACTTAATAGTTGCGTCATTCTTACTGGCTAAAAAATCTATGCATGCATGCCCATATGCAAGTAGAGAAAGAACAATTTAGCTAACTAGAATGGAAAATGTTGGATGTTTTGAGATAAACAATCTTCATTACCTGATGCTTAGATATCTTGGCTTATATGAGAAGGTGAGAAGGTGAAGTTGTGGTGTTTTAAAGGTACTTTGGTGACTTTAGTGGTTAAATAAGTGCTTCTAATGCATGAGCATCGAGAGATATAAATATATTCACATGACCATACCGCACTATACCTAAAAGTACAAGACAAACTCATATTGGTTACCAAGTCTACCACTCAACTTATTTTTTAAGTCATAACATTTCTCAATGGCATTGTTGACCCATTATTTACTACTTGGTGCAACAACTGTAAGATTTAACTAAAAAAATGTCATATACCGACGTAAGTTTGTCTTTATAGTTATAATATTTATCTAATAAAAATTAGATTATTGTTAATATAGATAATATTCTTTTAGCAATCATAATTATATAATAAAAACAACAAGATTTATACTTAGTATGTGTATACTATTTCAACTACCATTACAAAGTTAACCCACCCTAATAGTTCTGGTAATATATAGATAATATGAATTATACTATTAAGGATTTTATTTGAAGTACAAATATATATATATTATTGATATACACTGCAAGAAAATTGACATATAATGACACCCTATAATAATATTATATATGTCACTAAAAATTATTTTTACCTATATAATAATTACAATATATGTTAGTATATTATTAAAAAGTGTGGGTATAAACTATAATAACACATAAAATATGTTGTTAAATTTCATTCAAAATCAACACTAAAATTGTGCATAATTATATGTCAAATATATATATATATATATACCTACATATATTGTATTTATAGTGACAATTTTTGTATGTCGCTATATGTAACATTTTATTTTTTTTTTAGTGACATCATGTTAATATTAATATAATGCAGCATATATATTTGTTCTTAGAACTATTAAATGAGTTGGTGTGTCTCAATCATAGTTTGTTCTAGGCCCAAAATTTTAGCAGAAAGCTTCGTTCATGGCCTATTTTTTATTTAAGTTTTATAAAAAAAAATATCGGACCAAATAATTCTACTAGGTTGAGTCTGGAAATTTTTGGTAGTCTGGCCTAATTAGTTTGTCATGACTACTAAAAATTTTATTTGTTAATAAAAGAATAATAAATATAAAAAACTTATTCACTTTTTTCATCTAGTTTTTTTCTTATCTCTTTCTTCCTTTTACGTGACATCACTTATCATATCATATTATTATTATTATTATTATATATTATTATTATTATTATTATTATTATTATTATTATTATTATTATTATTATTATTATTATTATTATTATTATTATTATCTTCCTTCATGTCCATACACCACAATTTTAGAGTATACTAATTAATATCAATACTCTGAAAAAATACTGCATTAACAAAAGTAATTTTAACATTTCTTTTATATATGTCAACATTTGTATTAAACAAATGTACGTATATATGTAACAATACTAAAGGATTATTTATATTTATATAACAATACATATCCCAATATGATCATAGATATTAGCTGTGTGACAGCTTGCAAAAAATCAGCCATCATCAACTTTTGATTAATTTGTGTGTCTCATCACAGAGCAGAATGAATAAGATAGAAAAAGACAGACATGTCCACTAGGAACGCATATAACTAAAAATGGCAATTTATAGTAGGCTTAATTAGGTGAGCACGAGTTTATCTGTTAACAGTACTACTTCAAACTTTCTAGTTATTTTTTTAATAATTAACGGAAGGTTTAATGGATTTTTAGTGTAAAAGTTTTTAACTCAGTTAGTCAATACAAAATTATTGTTTGTATTATTTTTAAAATAATTATTATAAAAATAATTAACAAATTAATTATATATAATAATTTATAATTAGATGGAAGTATAAAGTATGTTGTCTTTTTCTCGTTAATAAATGAACAATATTTACATATAATTTTTTTAGGTACCGTTAGTATAAGTTATTTATTCAACTAAAATTGAAGTTTGTTTATATGTATTTAAATTTAATATAATACAGAGATCAATAATATACAAAGTAAGAACTATAATTTTAATTAGTGAATTAGTACATAAATACTGTAACTAAGTTTGTCCTTAATAAATGCTATAAGAGTAATGTTACCCTTTACTCTTTATTTCTCATGTGCTAAGCCTCCTTTTTAAGTCTCCCTTCTTTCATTTTAACCACACAAGTTTTTATCAAGTTAGAGTTTTATTCTTTCTCGTTTTATTTCTCAGCCTTCTCCATTCAAATTTTTCTCATTTGGGCAAAAACTAATTTAGGTTTAAATATGTTTTTAGTCCCTCAAATTTAGAGTAATTCTATTTTTGGTTCCTTAAATTTAAAATTATTATTTTTAGTCCTTATAATTTCAAAAAATCTTATTTTAGTCCTTATATTTAAATTTTGTTAAGAAATTTATCAAATATTATTGCATTAGTATCCCTATTAGTATCCTTATCCGTGAAAATATTACATTAAATCCAGTTGATGTTGTATAACTGTATTAATTAATCACTTTCAAATATATTATTGTTGTCCTAAGGGACTAAAATAAAATTTTTGAAAATTACAGGGACTAAAAATAACAGTTTTAAATTTAAGAGACCAAAAATAAATTTATCTTAAATTTAAGGAACTAAAAACATATTTAAACCACCAATTTATTACTTTTCTATATTCGTATATTTCCTTTAAAAGGTCAATTCTTTATTATATCTTAACAATATTCCCCATTAGTAATATTACTCAATTTTTAACATTGTCTCATATGGGCTAAGAGAATCATTTTTTTCTAACGTGGCTAAAGAGAGTCAATTGAGACCGATGTATTTTTAAAATTTTGATAAAATGTTTTTTAAACAAATGATACTATAAAAGAATTAATTTTAAAATAGTATAATTAAAATAATTAATTTATAATTGTCAATGATATTTTGTCTTTTTTAAAGATTATAAATATCTTTCATAGAAAACAATCATGCTCAAATTGAATAAAATTATTATAATGATATGCAAAATTATTCTCCTAATATTCAACATAATTATAAATTTAGGACATGAACCTAAAATCTTTAATTAAGCTAAAACAGTCTCATATCAACTTATTTACACGTTTAAGGCTTTTTGATAAAGATATAGTTTAAATAATTAACTTTATTTGAGGGTAAAAATGTTTCTAAAATTTTAGTAGTCTTGTGTACAAAACTTTGTTATGTTTATTTTAAAAATTAAATTTTTTACTTCTTCCAAAATTAATTTTGAGAAGCAAAACAACTCGCCAACCACTTGATGCACTTTATACCTACACTCGTTTTGCCATAATGTGATTTTGGCTTCAATCTAAATGGAAGTATACTAATGGCCACTACAATTTTGAGGATAATTTTAACTTTCTTACGTACACACATATTAAGCATTGTTTTCTTCTTCTCTTTTTCCATCATATATATCAGTTTGTCTCTATTCCCTTCCTATTTTTCTTTTCATGCATACATATCTTTGATGTGAGAAACGATCTTTTTTTTTTTCTAATTTAAAAGAAAAACAACAACCAAATCGGGGTTATTAGACACAACATATATATACACTGATTTTGAAAATGAAACCAGAGGAAGAACTTGCCAGTAATGGGTGTTTGGTACGTTTGTTTTGTAGTGCACAAAGAAAACAAAGTATTGTATACACTCCATGCTGATTTGTGAAAAACAATGACATAGCTATGGCTGAGAAAACGAGTCGAGTCAAGTTGATTAGTTACTAAAATTTGAACTTGTATTATGAGAAAAATTGATTATTCAAATTTGAATTATTTATTCAATCGAGTTTAAATGAAAGCTTGAGTTTCACTTGTATAATTCATTCTCAACTCAATTATTTACGCTTTTACGAAATTTTCTTAAATTATTTTTTGACTTTATCATTATAGCATTTAATATTATCTAAATACTAAATAATTTTCTAATAGAAATAAAAATGTACTTAAAATATGATAGGTGGAATTAAATTATTTTAGAGTATTACATTTTCATAATTTAATAAATAGAAAATTATAACTTATTAATTATTGTATAAGAGATCTATTTACTTTAAGGAGATGTTTAGTACACGAAAAACTTTTATTTTCTTGCGAATCTGAATGTTAGTTTCTTGTATTTTGTTTTTTATTTAAAAATAACATTTTTAGAAAACATTATTTCTTAGAAATGATTTTTGCATAAGTTTTTCAAAAAAATATTCCTATAAGAGAGATGAAAAACTAACTTTTCTGAGATGAAAATAAAGTTATAATGTGATATAAAAATGTCATGTTATCTTTATTTAGTGTAGTAAAAATCTTTACTCTCAAGTAAAATTTATAAACATTCCCAAAAATATTTATAATCAAGCAAATAAAATTTCATCAATCTTAGATATCATAATTCCCAAGCATGAAAAAAATTGTTGTGTACCAAATGCTTCGTAAGACTAACTCTTAATAGATTTACTTCACTCAATAAATAATGTTTTACATCAAATTTTAATGATTCAACAATTGAATTAAAAGTTCTTAATGTATAAATCAAATATACAAATTTAAAAAAAAATTCAAAATCATATGATATACTTTGTTATATAAATTTAAATTAACGTATAAAATATTTTTATGATTATTTGTCAATTTGAATTAATAAAATGATTTACAAATTTGATATAAATAATAAGAATTTTTAGTTGAATAGTCAAATAGTTGAAATTTGATGTAGAACATGAGATATTGAGTGAGATAAATTTATAAAAACTTACTTTTAAAATAAATAAATTTCTCATAAATAAAGAGGATTATCCAATTTGGTGTACATATTTATGTTTTCACACTTATTTTATTAATGTGAGGCTTTATTTATTATATCATCAACAAAATAATATATACATTAAAAATTAAAAATGTAACTATTATTTAATTATAGACTTTGATGTATAACAAAAAATTTAACTTTATCATAATTATTTTTAAAACCATATATATAATATTTGTAAATAATCGACTGATCCCAAAAAATTACACTCATTTTGAAAATAATGATATAGTTTTGCTCCTTTTGAAAAGCATGTGATGTAAGGTGATGTACACAGATGTAGGTTAACAAGTATTTGAATAATTTACATTGGGCTGCTAGCCAATCGTATTTGGGAGTTAGGCTATAATGCTAATCTGGCCCACTTTGAGCTGGCTCAGTGTAGACATTTCACTACTTTTTTCTTAAAAAAAAAAAACAAAAAAGATTCAGACTCTAAAAGAAGAAAAAAAAATTATACTTATTTTCATTTGTATAATTCATGGTTAAGAAAAGCTAAATTAATTAATATAATATAACTTTAAAGAGCATAAGCCAAAAGGAATTAATAAATATATAATTACTAATGACTAATTTGGTTAGTATAAAAAATTGATATGTACATTATTGACCAATTTAAAATTTTAAAATTAAGGCAGCACTCCTTCAATATCAAAATATATTAATTAAGTATTTATTCAATAGGTTCATATAATAAAAGAGTTTATGTAATAAATTTAGCCTATAAAATTATTGAAATAATTTAAAGAAAAAACTTATATTGATAAGTTTCACTAAACTCAAAATATAAAGTGAAGTCAAAATATTTTTTAAAAAATCACTAAAAAATATATATTTTATAAAAAAAAATCACAATCTACTTTCATAACATTAAATAGATTTATTTTAACTCATTTAATTAAATGTCTCTTTAGTCTCACTAAAGCCATCAAAACAAGGGAGAAATGGTTAGTATAGCTGTCAAATGTGGGATGCAGTGGTTTGAATATTAACTATTAAGTTAATTTTTATGAAGAGAAGTAATGTGGCAGGTAATTTCTAAATCATTTTAGAAATAAATATTAAAGCTTTATTACAGTTCTATGCATTATCATTTTCTCTTTTATTAGTATTTAATTTTAAAATAAAATAATAGATTAAAAGAGATAAGAAGTTAAGAATTTTTTTTTAAAATATTTTCTTGATGTAGTTATTTTACTAAATGATAAGTCATTGTAAATATTAAATTTCAAACAATGTAACTATTAAATTAAAAGTACTTTAATAGATAATTATATTATTAGTACAAAATATCTAGTAATTTTATTAATGACTAATCTTTAATATAGAACCTTAACAAAACTTCTCTTTATTCAAATTTGAAATCATACTTAAAGGATTCAAATTCAATTTCACTTTATATGAACGTCCATAAATGTATAAGTCTAACATAGACAATATTGTAGAGACATGTGTGAGTGTGATGTCTATGTCAATCAAAGTGTTATTTAGTATAAATTTTAATTATGTAAAATAAATATTTGTTGCATAAGAGTGAATCTCGTTCCCATAACCCGTCCCGTCGTTGTCCAATTGGAACATACTTGTTTTAGGTGTATTTTAATGCAAATGAAATGTCTATTCTTTATTAATGAAGCATGACTCAACCTGTTCTCTTATCTTCATCTTTTATGGAAGGTTTGTAATATACACATGAATATGCCCTTTTAAAAAGTGGTGATTAATCATCATCATCATCACATAAACAAACCATAGCCATCCAAATTGGGAACAGAAAAGGAAGAGAAATCTAACACATAATTACTCCTTTTAGAAGAAATAACCGAGTGCAAAGAAAAAGGTGTCTATTAGTAAAAGAACATGCCTCAATTCATGTATCTTTTAATTTTTATCAGATTATGGTTTTGTTATCTATAAGGTAAGATTTTGATCCTACCCATCTCCATCTCACGTTTCACACTAAGTTCAAAAAAGAAATTCCACAAAAACTTTTTTAAAAAAGGAAAACTATTCTAGTGGAGGATTACATATCTTTGAAGTAACCATAGGATGAATGCTTGTAGCTTATCTTTACCAAAAGACCTAGCTGGTCATTTTTACCTAGTTTCTCTTTTTAACTATGACTATTTTAAAAATCTTACTTAAGAGAATCGAATCAAATTTTACTAAATCAACCAGTTCCTAGAAGAGATTATATATCTTATTATAATCACTTAAATTTCAATGGAAGATAGAAAATCTTACTGATTTTGAGTTGATCTACTCTTCTGCGTTTTCACTTTTCATCGTATTTTCTTCTTCCTCTTTCTTTCAGCACTCTTAATTAATAATTCATCTCATGTCAATGTCAGTACACTTCCCTTGCTCAACTGAAATTATTCCCCACCTTGCTACCTATTTATAGATTCAATTTGATATGGATCACGTGTATGTGTAAATTCATTGCATCTAAAAAAAATTTATAGTCTTAATTATAACTATTTTTTCTACTTAAAACTAATTTGAGGCGAACGGAAGTGTTGTTTCATTCTAAAGTACAACGAAATTTGATCTCACATGCATGACCTAATTGTTGAGTGTGTGTGAAGCAATATTACTTGATATTAATTTAAGCTTTTTACTATTAAATATAAATATTATGGAGTTAGTGAATTAACTAATATAGATTGTTTTATCTTAATTAATCTTGACTTCAAATTTTAAAAATATAGTTACATTAAATATTCATAAAAGAAAAAAATTTATCTAACTCGTAAGATTGGCTCTAAAAGAAAATATATTTGTGATTTTTATAAGAAAAAAGTGTTAATAAGTACAAAATAATATTTGAAAAGACATAACATTTATTTTCCATCAAATTAACCTTTACACTTTTCGATTTTTATAACTATAATTATATGGATAGTACATATAAATGAATAATCATTAGTACAAAACGAGAGTTTTCTATGAAAAAAAAATTATATTAGCTCCAAATCACACATAAAAAAAATGGCGTGATAAAATTGTAAATATAATAATTTTTTATGTTAGATATTGTTTTATTCGATATAAAAATTGTTTTTTATATTAGGTAAATCAATATTAGTTATAAAAAATGTTAGATTAATCTTAATTTTTTTATGATGGGTATTAATTCACCTAATACATAAAGTGTTGGCTCTAAGTTTTCTATTTTGAATGAGTCAACACTTAATATAGAATATATCTTTTTATATTGGATGAAAATGCACTCGTCATAAAAAGCCTTTTTTTTTAGGGCCTAGGGTGTGAAATCAGTTCACCCATTTCATCATCTTCAACCTCACTTTACACCTCCGTACACCCACTTCGCATATTTGGCTCTAGTGCTTTATTATGACTTTTGATGACATTATGGTGCTTTGATGACCTCATCGTACTATGAACATGCTATAGTGGCCTCCTCCTCATAACTACAACTAGTTCATCATCATTTTTTATTTTGCATTTTCAAGTTTCAAATTGGTATAGATAGTTTGGTTATTTATGGTGTATGTTATTTGATTTTGATTGCTTTATGTTGTTTTGATTTTATTGGGATTTTATGGCTGAATGTTGTGGTTTGGAATTTTTTTAGGGTATGCACACAAGGTGTTTGACAAAATATTCAAAAATGTATTAGGGTGTTTTGGGCTTGATTATGGTGTTTTATGTTATAGAGATTAGACATCACTTGTGTTGATATGGTGTTTAAGTTCGGGATGGTTTAGGTATTCTTATGGATTCCTATTTGTTACTAGTTTGAGGCATATTGGGGTTAGTTTTGGGGGCTAATTTGTGTAACATCCTTTATCTTGCATACATGTAAAATTAATACTTTGTAACAAGGATATAAAAATCTTCAAATGACTTGTATAAATAATCAAAATGAAATATCTAACATGGAGTAAAGAGTCTCACATAACAAATACTTGAACAAAACTTCATACTAATATGTAAATATAAAACTAAACATAAATCCTATCAAAAGAATTAATAAAACAATATCCTTAATCTAAGTCTTGATGTCATATGTCCTATCAAAGCACTCCCAAGACAAGAATTAAGCATCATCGCCAACATCATCAAGATCCTGATAAGCCTCACCTGCAACAATATTCATAATAACAAGATATAGAACAAAGGGAGTGAGAAAATTTTTCACTCTAGCTCATGACATTAAATAAAAGATGAATAATCAAACACACTCCATACACCATTTATACATTAACATGATATTAATTAACAAATAATTATCACTATCAAACACAATAACTCATTTGTCACTATTAACGCAATCACTCATTCATAACGCATTAATCATAAATAATTTAGTCATGTGTGAATATGAAATGCAATAGGCATAGACTCTCAATTTGTATACATGTGGTACCAATCTCAAGATATGTGCAGTGCATATTAAACGATATGCTAATTTGTTTATTTGTGTGCATATGATGCATGTCACATAAACTCTTTATCATATCATGAATCATTACACATACTCAATCATTTTCTATGCATACAATTTATTGTGTACACAATTTGCCATATATACAATTTACCATATACATGATTTACCATACAAGAGTCAAGTATCTCATTCAAGCATTTTATCAAACATACTTGTTTATTTCACATTCATCAATATTCAAATTACTCAATAAAACCTCTTCAACTCGAGTAAATAAATAATTTTTATATTACCTGGCAGAAGCCCATCCACACTTGACACAACTCATCCAAAGAGCACTCATAACTCTAGGGATTGCTCATGCCCGACGTGACCCATCTCACGCTCAGTGAGATAATAGTAGGGATTTCCCTGAAGTCCCTATACTCGATGAGCCTCAACCCACGACCAATTCTGAATGTAACAGAGGCTTGTGGCCTCAATAGTGCTCAACGAGGCATATCTCATGTTGATGCAAACAGAACAAAGAGTAAATCCTTCTCTCAAGCACCACAATGCCCGACGAGACACAAATGGCACCCGACGCCATATTAGAAACCCAAAACTTGCAAAATCGCAATTTGTGAATAATGAATCCAAAACATGCATTGGTAAAACACTTTAATTTACTCATGCAATACATCCACAAGACACGAATTCCATACAATTACATATTTTTATTAACAACTCACACATTAACCATTCAACATATATCTTTAGGGTTTCTACAAGAACCCATAGGCAACTCAAAACATACCAAAAAGGCTCATAACACAAAATTAACTATAAACAATTGTGATAATCAATAGGAGGGTAAAAGAGTCATGGAATAGACAACCAATCACTAACAAAAAGTAATAGGCTTTCCTCTTTATATAATGCATACAATATACAGAGGTTGAGGTCAACCTCACTATCCATCAATTACCCCATGCCCTAGAGCGAGAATTCTCACTCCCCCTTACCTTAATCAGCAAAAATGAAGCAACATGGATCTTTGGGATGATCTCCTCTTGACTCCTTTCCTCTTGGTTTTTCTAAGTGTAAAAAGAAAATAAGAGCAAGAGTAGAAAACTAACATGTCTCTCCTTTTAATATTAAACCTAACTCAACCTCCCTCTAACTCATCCATGATTACTCAACTTTAACTCTGGTTACATATCCCTTCCCCTCACTTAATAATAATAATAATATAAAATAATATATTAAATCATGACTCTCAAATAATTTAATCAAAATAAATATATAAAAATTTGATCCCAATATCAAAATGTTCTATAAAATCAACCCTTTAATAATATATATATATATATATATGCAAAAATGTAGGGTTACAATTTGGACTAGTTTTGGGATTAGTTTTAGGTTGATTTGGGTTGGATAGGTGTTTTTTTTTTTTGTTGAATTGGTTAGGTATATTGGGGCTCACTAGGGGGGAAAGGGTTCTCTAGTTTTTCTTGGCTGATTTGAGAGCTCTGAAATAGTCCCTAATGCTTATTTGTTGGGGTTGATTGGGTTAAGAGTAAGCATGGGTCAGGTCCATCCTTACTCAAGCCTAACTCAATTTATTGATCGAGTCATTTTTTAAAATTCAAACTCAATTTAACCTAATCAAGGCTCGGAAATATATCAAACAAGGTCATGTCGATCAAACTTTGATATACTATTAATTTTAACATTATGTATAGTTAAATTGTAAATTAAAAGAAATATAGAACTTAAATTAAGATATATTTTATAACATATATTTTAACATAAATAATTTTATTATAAATATAATATCATGTTATAAAAAATATTTGTAACTAAATAAGTTTTTATTACTAATACACGGTAATTCAATAAAATCTATACTTTTTAAGAGAATATTACTAAATTGGGTTAGGCGGTCCAAAATGTAACCCAAACTCATCCTAAAAAAGCACTGGGTTCAATTTCAAAACTTAAATCCATCTAAATTAACCACAGGCCGTGCCAAGCTGGGTTATGATCACCCCTATATTAGGTGGTATTATGATAGTTATTTAAATGTTCTATACTTTGTCCATGATACTCATTTATGTTACTAGTTAATTTTGTGTCTATTGAAATAAGCCAATAACTTTTTTTTGGATTTATTTAACTAGATATTAATTTAGAAAATATAAACCTAAAAAATTTAGGTATGCATAATAGTTAAGTAAATTCAAAATAATTTTTGGTGTTGATTTAAAACTATAACTTAGAAATTTTATATGCCCATAAACTAAGACTTTTTAGGTTCCTATCCCTAATCTTTCTCCTATTCAATGTTTGGTTATGATAACCTTAAATCTCAAGAATTGTGAAGTGGAGATAAGCATGTCTCTCGTGGTCGTTGATAGGAAGAAATCTATCCTTCTTTTTATGCTAGTGTGATGTCATGAATATCGTTTATAATCACGACCTTTTTTCCATGTGGGTGATGCAACTATGCATGTTGTAAATATTTATTGTAATGGTTTTTATTCTAATATATTCAATTACAACTTCCTAACATTATATTAATTTATTCTTATAATTTAAGGTCTCTTCATTGCATCTGTTTCAAGATACAGATCGAATGCATTTTATTAGGGATTCATTAACTTGTTGCCATCTAGTGTGTTGAGAATAAAGATACCAATATCAAGGAGTATTTGATAGACCAACTTAGGCTAAGAAGCAAAGGGGTCTACTTAGCACCTTATTTAAATGGGAAAGATTAAATTTGAAATTTTTTAATATTTAAAGTAACTTAAAAGTTTCTAACTTTGTTACAAAATGCAGGGTTCATTGGCAATGACACAATTTTATTATGATACTTTGTTATATAAATTCAAATTAATGTTTAATATGCTTTTATAAATATATTAATAATGAATTAATGCAATGAAATATCAAATAAATTTTAATTTTTAGTAGT